AACCACGCATGCACAGGGAGAACATTAAAAGTCTATGCAGAAAGACCCCAAGGGGGAATCAAACCCAGAACCTTCTTGCTGCATAGCAAGCCCATGAGCAGTCCATAATGTCAAAACAGCCTACCATAAATATAAAATTATACATTAACTCAAGCAGCAATCCTAGGCCATCTCCCTCTCCTTTTTATCTGTAGCATTGCTGCTCTTTTTTTAAACACATTTTCCAATATTTTTTTTGTATTCAGCATTACAATCTCTAGTTCCAGTGCTGTAAAATAGACCAACTTCCACTTGCCTGTTGTCATGGTGACTCATCAAATTGGGGCTCCACTGATGATGGCTTTTCATAGTTGTTGCATACAACTCTGAATCTTTCACATCAATGCCTTTTGCACTATGTCTCTCCTTTACTGTTTACATTTTGATTACTGCTGCACTTTATAAAAGGACGTTTGTTTCACTGCTAAGCTGCTCATTCTCTGTTGAAAAAGCTGTATGCATCGAAATTTTGTTTTTTATACACTCTGTGTACACTAAATTCCAAGTGAAGGTACGCGGTGTGAAACTAACTCCCATCAGCGGTTGTGAAACTACAAACTTAGGGTTTCTCACCTTTGGCTAGATCAAGTCAGAGCTGAGGATTTAAGTCTGAGTTTGTTAAACCTTCTTTGTGAAACCACCCACAGGATTTTTTCAAAACTTTATGTATAAAGATATTTAAGCTACTGTTTTGGAAATTAATAAAGTCTGATCTAATATATACCTCATCTTTCTCTATAAAACCCTCACCTGATTAAGGGAAGTCACACTAGTTATCTCACTGTGGTGTAAGTGTTACATCACTTTGGTATTTGTAAATAAAACACACCAAAAAAAAAAATCTAAGACAGTGTTTCAAACCCAGAATAATTATTTTTTGCCAGTGGATTAATTTCAAAGCATGCAGAACAAGAAAAGACAATTTTCATTGGAATCGCAAAGTTCCATTAAAGCTAAGAATCTCAAATGCAACCAGGAACCACAGGTTGCACAAAAGCTCACACAGAGGAAAGATACTGTCGCACAATGAAACACTTGTTGGGTAACCTCTTTTGGCAGATCACTGAATAGTTAAGTGATGGAATACTTGTTAAGTACTAATATATTCTTGAGAAATACAGGTTTTAGACTTCAGTGGAAATTGGCCCGGCCAGACAGCTTTTGTTTTTTTAAGAATATCAAGTTAAAATGGTTAGAGAAAAAAAACTCCTTGATCAACCCTCATTGTCTTTACACCTTTATTCAGTAGTACCATCCAAGCACAATCACATAACCCAGATAGATGTTACTGCTTGGTTTTACTAAAGCTGATGTTTCACTGGCTTCTATCAACCCAGGTATTTGCCAAGCACCATGGTATGAGTAATGAAACTGATGATGGAAAACTTAAAAATTTATTTCTTTTTCACTTTTATCTTAGAACATAACTCTTCTATGTCAGTGTAATTCTACAGCTTGAAAAATAATAATAAAAGCAGTTTTTAGAAAAAATGTATCATGAAGTGAATACTTATGTGCAATTTTGTTGTATTGTTTTCTTTACAAAGTAAAATGTTGCCTTTTCACTATAGAAAAAACTAAAATTTTTATTTCTGAGTTTAAAAGGACTATCATAAACTAATAAAATGTTATTGGTGAAAATATCAGCCCAGTTATTCTCTAGTAGAGCCTGTTTCAATCAGCTTTATGTCTGAAGATATAAAGATGATTGAAATACTTCCGGGGTTTCAATCAGCTTTATCAATGAGTAATGCTGGAAGTATTACTTCCAGCATTACTGATTACATACATTTATTGATGAACATAGGGCATAATAGGTCTATATATATCTAACTCTTAGTACTAATAAAATTCTTTAAATTTTAACTGAATTCTAATGTGACATCCCATTGGTAAAAGTATGTTTTCGTGGTTAAGCATTATGTATTTTATAGTCATTCATTTATAGCAACATGATTTTATGTTTGTGATTTGTTTTCTAACTTCAAAACATGAAATATTAAAACTTGACAGGTTAATTTGAGCTTAAATTTTCAACAAGTAGTTTGACATAAACACAACAGAGCACAAGTACTTCTTGAGTGTTTATTCTTTGTTAAATGCCTATGTGTTGCTATTTGCTAATAAATACTGCTTCTTCCAAGACTTTGTTGACGAAGAGTGTCTTCTTTTAAAATACAGATTTATTAACAACGTTTAAATCCCCAGGATGAGCTGGAGAACAGTTTCTATAGGGACCGCCTACTCAATTCGATCTTAGGTGACAATGGACGGATGCATCAATATACAAAATAGTGTTTAATCTATGAGCAGCTGCAGTAGTTTGTTTTCTTGTTTACCATATACAATAAAGGTGCCCAGCCCTCATGGGGTTGTAAGACAAAATCATATTTAAAGAATCAGACAAAGACCAACATCGTTTTTCAAGTCCCGTTAAAAAATGCCAAGTTTTTAAAACATACTAGGCTAACTGAAAAACATGGCTTTGGCATGTCCAGATTTTTCCAGATTTGTTTCTTATAAAACAAATCTGGACAAACAAGGGCTTTATCAAGCAATTCACTCCTTAAAGTTGTATAGAGTGGACAACAAAATAAGAAAGTGCATTTTAACTTCATTCCAGGTAAGCAGTGATAATGGGCATCTGAATGCAACTTTAATGTATCTAAGAATGAGGAAAGAACTGAATAAAAAAATCCTTTATTATCCCACAAGGGGGAGGTTTTTGTGCAACAAGAGCAAGGTGACATGCATTCATTGTTAGAAGATTCAAACAAACTTGAAATTTTCAAGTGTATAAAATCAGAAAGAATAAAATCATGTAAAAAATAAAATAATGAAAATTTGTTTACATAACTCTGTGCAATTATGCAAAATATAAATGCAATGTATTATTGTGTGCTTTGCAATATCGTATTCACTAAAATGAATATCTTTGAGGTTTAAACTCCTCGAAACCTTTAAACGTTCCCTCAACATACCAGTACATTTTAAAACTCGTCAAGATCAATAGCTTTCTAGTGGTCTATAAAATTAGGCTCTGAGATATCTTATTTATTGTCAAAGTATTAATATTTATTACTCAAGCAGAAATATAAATCCTACTGTTTAAACATGCTTTAGTTGAAGTTAGAGCATCAACTTAAGCTTTTTACTCAAGTAAGTGTAACAGTACCAGTTTCAGAACTACTTAAAGTATAAAAGTAAACAGTTACTGCACTAAACTATTAAGCGGACATTTTTCTACAATTCTGAATGAAAACTTTCTTATACTAAAAGTAAAGTGGAGAATGTTCTTTTTTCACCTGGATCATCAGATTAAGTGGGTCCCTAATTGTCAATCATTCTGGTGATATGTTAACGTAAGGCCGTTAATAGACGTTCCCTCTCGGAGTACAGGGTTGTTGAGTCTTTTAAAGAAATTTGCAAAAATCCTCCACTAAAGCTTTAGGTTTCTTTGTTTTATGCAAAGTCCAATTTAACTTTGCATCATCTTTAACAAAGATTTATTTTTGTAGGTGGCAAACATACCAAATGATTTTAATGCTTTTTACTTTTGTTTTTATTTAGTACCAACAAACCATAACGAAAATTAGCTTAAATGAAATAAAGTCTATTTTTAAAATGTAAGGACTAAAAAATAGAGATAATTACAAAATATTATAAGGAGTAGCAATAATAAGATAAATAATTGACCCTCTGTTTATTGTGTGCCTGTGCTGAAGTATGACGGCATGATTTCAGTATATGTTTAAAAAATTAGACAATTGAAAAGTGGTATGTAAAACAGAAGCATGTCAGACAAAAATAGAAAAGGTCTTCAGCATAAAAAGCAGTATGTGAAAAAGGAAAAATTAGAGGATAGATTCAAAGACTACAAGACAAATCATCTTTCAACTTATTTTTCTTATATTCTTATTTGTAATAATCTTGGTATTTTTTTATTATGTCAGCAACAGATACTCAAACGAATCAAAGATCAAAATAAAGCTGATTCTTAACTATCTGTGTTTTAGATGCTTCTGCAATGGTTAAATAATACTAGCAAGAGTTAGAAGCTTTAAGAAGCAAAACATATTTCTCTGAAAACTAGTGCTGCAGTAGTGAAATGTTGAAGAAAAATGTATCTCAATAGTTTCTGCATTTGATCTATCGCCCTTTGATTTGTAGGATATTTTTGTAATATACTTCATCATGATAAGAGGTTTATAAAGTAGAGGTTTATATTATCATTATTGTCAACATTCTGTCCCATTTTATTGAGTTAACTAATATGTTCTCCAAGGAAAGGGAACACAAAAAAAGCTAGAGACACAATGCTGACATACATTATTGTTTTTATGACAATATTAAATAGTTAACCAGACTGTTGGAACAATATTGTTACTGATCTACGTCGACAGCTTTGTCTCAAGAAACTGCTAGATGGAAATAAAAAAGATTGTAGCTGCCAAATCCTTAGCATCTGTTCTATATGTACTGGCTTACAACATCTCTCTGCGATTTGATGTAAGGCAACAAATGCATGCTCAGGTTAATTCCAGAAAAATAAGAAATAGCTGCCAAAAGTTATTGTAATACTAGAAATAAATACATTTCAAATGTCAAAGGCTATAAGTAGTGTTCATCAGCCCCAGAAAAACTCAGAAAATACACAACAGAAAATGGCAAAATCATTAAAACTGAGAAAAGTACAGATGATTAAACCTTCAAAAATCAGGACTCCATCATCTCAGAAATCGGCTGTCAGTTTCTTTTCTTTGCATTCAGTTTGGTTGACTGAATTTTTATTGTGTTTCAAGTCATAGTAACCACTTAAAGTGATATACCAGTACCCAAATTGGTTTGCCTCGCCAAAGGGCACTTCAAAATGTGCAGGGAGCTAGAATTAGACCAACAACCCTTTGACTGCAAGACAACAATTTGGTAATGAGCCACAGAAATACTTTTAACAACAAGTTTTAGATTTGTGGCCTTTCCACGTTGTTTGTAACCGAGGCCTCAGGGGACTTTTGTGAGCTATTTCCAAGGGCACAACGCTGGTGAACACGCATGTGCTCTGTGACACGGTATTGCCGTGAGAAGGTCATTGGGCAGCAGGGGCAGGGGAAGGGGCGAACCCCAAGATGGCTTCGCACATGTCTGTTCAGAGAACCTCTTTGACTAAATGAACGATCACAGAGGGAGCACTGGAAAGGCTGATGATTGGGAGATGACAGATGAGCTGACTTATCTGTTGACTCACCAGCTGGAAGAGTGGAAGGTATGCAGACAGATACAGTGGATGGCATAGAGGCTCTATCACAGTCTGACTCACCAAGGGGTGAACAAATTGGAGTGGTGCTGATCTTGGTTTTACCCTCGTCAGGCTTAAAAACTGCCATGATTTCAGTGTTGTTTGTCACCCAAACTCCTGTTGTGCACTCTTTTATATAAAGAAGGCTTCCATCTTTGCTGTCTCTCCGACTATCAGACTCAGAAAAGGTCCCCGGTCTGCCTATAAAGGAACCATGAATCATTTGTGCGTTTTCATGATTTGCAGTTGCAACCGTCTCCATGTCAACAAACTGCTTTTCTTCTTTTTCAGATCCATGTTGACTGGACATATCTAGATCATGTTTGGTGTTTACATCCAGTTTTCCTTCTGTCTTTACAGGGAGATATTGACTCAGAGACCTTTGACCAAAAAAAGTAAAGGATCCAGTATTAACCCCATCACTTAACTCATCTGGATCAAGAGAGAGGCCAGGTTTGGAGAGTTTGTGTTCATCCTCATGGGGTTCATCCTGGTATGGAATATGTCCGTGGTATGGCTGACCTGTGTGCCTTGCAGTGCCAGAAAGGTTGTGGTCTATGGGTGCTGTTAAAGAGCAACATGGCACCACAGTTTCAGGGCTTGAACTTTTTCTACTTTCAGATATTTCACAGTATTTAGAAGCAGATAATGTTTGTTTGCTACATACTTTGTATTCATCCCTGCAAGATATATCATCTTTTCTGCTTTTGTCATCTTTGTAAATGTTAGCTTGCCAGTCTATTAGAGGTTCAGATGCCTTGCAAGGACTGTCTGTTACATCAAGACAGTGGGTAGAGTAACTGTGTTCCCCTTTGATTTCCACCTCAAGGCATTCTCTAGAATTAGAATCGCTCTGTGTGTCGAGAAATGAAATTACAGCTCTGGGATCTTTCGATTGTTCCTGTGTCGCAGTTGCCAGTAATACCTTCTGACATTCAAAACAATCCAAGCGCTGATGTTTGTAGGAAACAGAATCAAAATCACTTTCAATTTGGTGTTTTGAGCGTCTCCTTAAGTTGTCTGAATGCTCTCCAAGCTGACTTGTGGAACTTTGCAAAGAATCCTGATGGACATGCTGGGAGTTGTTGTTCATATTATAGATTGCACTCTTGCAGGTTTGTTCACTGACTCTAAAGGGATGCAAATTGTTGCTATTGTAATCCTTGTTCCCCTTGCGGTCATTAGTGTGCCATATAGTTCTTCTGGTGTCCTGATTTGGGACTCCATTTTGAGCTTTGCACTCAGTGCTAATAGCTTCGATAAATGTGTCATTGCTTGTGCTGACTGAGAGGGAGAAATCACCCATGTTGGGAAGAGGCTGCAATGCTTGATTGTGAGGACGCCCTGCAGAGACTTCTGAATTCTGCAGGACAGCAGCTCGGCTACTGTGACAGATGACAGGCACTGCCTCGCAGAATCGGTGTGGTGATGATGAAGAAGATGAGGAGCGTCTCTTTCTGTCCTCAGATACATGGAGTGGCTTATCTTCTGGGATTTTCTGTCCTGTATGTAGTTCTAGAAGGTCAGATGAATTGCTCTCATCCTGGTATTGGATTACTCCTGAGATTTTATGTACCTCAGATTTGTCCGTTTTATGGCTCATTGGGTCCTTTTGTATCGGAGACTTGACTTGTCTGTAGTCACCAGTATTCTCTCTAACATTGTTTTCAAGTATGCTGAAAGTATTGAAGTCATTTAAAATAGTCGGTTCATTTCTTCTGTGACCATTTGCATAATGCTTTCTAATACTCTCATTATTTTCAGTAGTGGGATCAATGCTGGCTGAATTTAGACAGGCTTCTGGAAATGTCTCCTCATTAGGAAACTGCTCTGTAGGTGCTGTTTCGAGCCTTTGAAAAGAACATGTTGTGATTGATGGTGGCAGATCTTTGAAGGTCTTCAAATCATTTTTATAATTATGTTCTGTCTCTTTAACTGAATACATTTCAACTATGCCAGGGGCACTTTTTTCATCTGAGGCTTTAGCTTGGATCTGTAGCCAGGCTGCATTCAGAGCGTCCTGCAGTTCTTTCATCTGCATATGGCGGGCAGCAGAGAGCAGTCTGTGATAATCCTGTTGGCTGAGAGGGCATGGAAGAACGCCGGTGTAAATATAGTCCAGAAGGGAAGGTAACACGGAGTCCGAGAGACTTGGATCCTCTAGTTCCACAAGAGCGCCAGATGAGGACAGGATGCATGCCAACACTGGACTGGAGGCTGCCAGAATACACCTTGAAGAGCAAAAAGTCAACATAAGTTTGAATAATAACACAGCACTTTAATTATGCATTTACTCCTCACTAATCCATTCTGGTTTTGCCATTTCACAATGTTTTAACTTATCTCAAATAATTTTCAGATCATTAAACAATTTCTAATATTAAAAAAGGGCATTCAGTACATACCAAACACAATTTTTAACACAGGATTTCATTAATTAAGGGCCAAATAGAAGTATAGAATAGAACTGAACTTAATTCATGAGCTCTGCCCAGACAAAAAATACAAAATAGACAAAAAAATCACAACAAAGCAATATTGTTCTCCCATTCCATCTAAAGAAAACCAAAACAGAAATACAACAAAGTCCTTAAAATGCTGTATAGAAAGCTGTAAAGAATTAGAAAGAGATTTTTAAGGCTTTGGCTTTAAATTTAACTACAGATAGATCACTTAAAAAGAAATTGGGAAAACAATTATAACCCTAATGAACTTCTAGATGACTGAACAACCCAGGCTACTGCAAAAGACCTAAATGGCTCACTTATCGTTGTTCAGGGCTGTGATCATAATTTTACAAAAAAATAAGAAGGAAAATTCTTCTGTGGATAACTTTGCATCTCAATACATCACACAAACTAATTTGATTTTTTAGACAAGAAAATATATATCAAACTGACAGCTGGATAAAATTGTGGTAGCATGATGGTCAGAGGTTGATATGCTGCCTCTGTGCCTGGAAAACCTGCATTTATTGGTGGATCCATACATTCTGGGATATATTCCTGCTAGAGAAATCCATTTATGAAACTAATCTTAAACCCACTTGGGTTTTGCAGCAGGATTATTATCCAAAGCATGGGATCTTAACACCTCATAAAAAAGAACAAGGTACTAAATGATCTAGTCTACTCCTTGAGATGTAATGGGTGAGAGGAAACACAGTGTTCATTCTCACAAACCCTTAAATACAACTGAAAAATATGACATAGAAATCTGTAAATGTTGGAATGTGCCATGAGGGAAACATTGCTGCTTTTTTGTGTTCTAATATGATGCTCACCGGTGTGCATGGTAGAGCTGGTCTGAGCTCCGCCTCTGCCTTAGTACACAGTCACAGAATAAACCTTGATGTCTCTGATGGTTTAGAGTCGCCAGCAATGATGCTGCATGTAATGCTGCACTGGTGTCGGTCGCCTGGAGAGAGGATGTTCCCTGAAAAATAGATTAGGCAAAGATGAAAATATTTTAATATCACCATAATAAAATTTAGAAAGATTTGTACGCATATGGAAAAACTGTTTTTAACAGTTAAATACCTTTTCATATGAAAATGAGGCAGAATGTTATTTTTTTGGCCATGCTGACAACTCAAAGTGCTTTATGTTACCGCCACTTCAAGCAGACATATTCACACACTGGTCAGTAGCAAACTTAGGGTTAAGTGCCTTGCTTAAGGGTGCATCTGCATGTGACGGCAGGAATCTAAAATCCAACCAGCTTCAACCACAGAGCTATAGTCCCCACAACTTACATGACACCCTAATCTTAAGAAATACATTTAGAAGATTCTAAAAACTAAACGAGCACCAATGAAATAAATCAGTGAACAATTCTCATCTTTATTTTGTTCAGGCAGAGCAGTAAAAAAATGAGAAGTTATTGAATTCAGTGGATGAGCTTTGAAAAGTAACCACAAAGCATATTTTCAATTTCCAGTCAAAGTTAAAGTAGGCTAAGTAACAAGTGAGAAATCTAAAAAAAGATAAAGAAAAGAAATGTATAACCGATCAAATATGAGGAGGGATAAAACAAAAACAAATATAACAGGCAGCCTGTTTTCCTTTTGAATGAAAATGCATTCAAATTCCACCAAGTGCACACTTGAAGTTCACTTTATTTTATAATTCCAACCAATGATTGAATTCATTCCCAGCTTTTCCCAAATGATCCGCTGATCAATGTCTCTTTCATTACTTCACACCATTTGAATCATTCAGTCTCATTCATTAGTTATTGTTGATAACTTACCGTAATGCTCAGCAAATAAGCAAAAATAAATAGGTGCTACTATATTACTAAAAACATTTCTAAACCAGGAAAAACTACAACTATCACAACTTTTCCATGCCAGATAATAGTGTATGATCTTAGTGTAGTAGTAGTGTAGTAGCATAGATAGTATTATTAGAGACTGACTGCAAATGAATAACAAGAAGAAAAAAAATTTCCCCTTACCTCCATATTTTGGTGGAAGACGACTAACAGTCTTTGTCCGTCTTGCTTGTAGTTAAAGTGAAAAAAGACTTCCCATTGAGGATATATAGTCCCACTCTTTCTGCAGAGGGTCTCATGTGGAAAACAATCACACGCTTTTCATATCGGGAGCAACGCATGACGTGGACGTTTCAGGTGCTTATAAGGAGTGCTATCCTGTGATGTCAGACTCTCCATGTCTTGTTATAGAGAGGGGCTGACACTGACCTGCAGATAGACAGCCACAGAGCTGCAGCGAGTAGAACCCGTGTTCCTGCTTGCACTTCAAAAATACAGCATGAAGTCATGTTTAATTAAAAGACAACTCTATGGTGGATCATTACTGTCAATTCCTCCTAAATAAGAATGATTACATATCAAGCAGAGACCAAACTTGGACAGTTTAAAGCTTTTATTTTGGAGATAGGTCAGAGATGAATCTCCTGATATTCTGTAATGATTTTTTTTAGCATTTGCTTGCAAAAAAAAAAAAAAACTTTAATACCATTAAAAAGAATGTGAGTCTCTCCTACAAGTTTATGATGCATTCTACCACTTCAGATAACACTGACAATTGTTTGGATTGTTTCTATGTGTTTCAGTTCTACACATGGAACCTCCTCTAGTGTCACGAGCCAGTTTCCCTTCAGCTGACGTTTTTGTTGACAACTCCATACTAAGCCTTTTCTCCACCCTTTAAACCACATGCTCCTCATGGCTTTAATCCATGCTCTGCTCTAATGTTACAGCCACGCCTCCTGCTAACCATGAGGCTGTAGTACATTTTCCCTGACAACTGTGCAATGGAAATACTACAGCAGTACACAGTGCTTCATTGCATTGTGACATCTAAGGAGTGTGTCTTGTGGCACAAATAGATGACATAATGCAACAAACGTGTCAGCAAATATAACATGCAAAAAGTGATTAAACTGTTTAACTGTGCAAGAAATCAATTCAACAAACTTAGTTAGCAGTAAATTTAAGACAGAGGTTTGGTGACGATGGAATAATTTATAAAAAATCTATGTTTTTCTTTCTAGAGCTTTTTCCTTCAGGTCGATGCAAACATCCCGTTTAAGTGTTTTTAAGACAGGTTATAGCTCCTAGTTTATTTAATTCTTAAACAGCCAATTTTTGTGCAACAGACTGAAATGCAGCAACTATATTAAAAGTTATGCAATTTTATTTAAAACTATGGATCAGTGGTTTTGGACAAACTGCTGTAGAGTCCGACAGTAATTGATCAGCATACAGTCCTGAAGTAAATGTATTGTTATTTTAAGTGTAAATACTGCACAATATTCAAGACTAAGATGTAAAGTAAAAAGACTTCAGATTGAAAATACAAAGAAAGGACATGTATTTTTCAAAGTTAAAAGATTAAATTGTGATGTTCATGAATAAATTCCCAACCAGGCCCCTCTTTTTCTTCAAAGACATTCAAATAAAAGCCAAAAATGTAAACGCTGCCCAAAACATGCTCTTCATTTATCCGTAGCATAGGAATTATGCCACAAATTCAGCAGCAATTGACCCTTTTCTGAATGAAAATACGTTTTATTTATTTTTATGCAATAAGGGCATAATCATTAGAGGAAACTAACGATTAAAACAGACTAACATCGTTAAGATGAAAATGCAGAAAATTATACCCAAATAGATATTGCAGAAAACAAGAAAATTACTAAAAATCCTCAAATTCAAGTTTGAAAGCACATATATATATATATATATATATATATATATATATATATATATATATATATATACACCATAAAGGATCTACTCTTCCAAATATAAACACCATAAAGGATCTACTCTTCCAAAGAAATGCATTCAAGTAGTTGGTGTCGTGCTGACTGAGGGCCATAGGCTGTTGTGTAGTTTGATCTGTGGGCCGAACAGCTGCAGGGACTGCAGATCATCCTAGACATCCAAAAGGCTTGGATATTGCAAACCAAGACTGGAACACTCCCATTCTTTGAGAAGGGCTTTAAATGCAACTGCTTATTCAAGAGAGGGCCGCTGCATTGATTTAATGGGTCAGAGCAATGTGCCCTCTCTCCCAGAGAGTAAGTTCAACACAGACACGCTCAAAGTGTTTCCGCTCACTGAGTGTGCAGTGACATAACTCACGTACTGTACAGTTGGGTGCAGAAGGGAGTGACTCAGGCAGTCACACAATGAGCAGCTTCTGGAAACATGTTCTGGATCTGTGCCCTGACAATTAAGGCTTCACTCTTTAGTATCAAAACAAACAATTTTTTTAACCAGTGCATTGTTTTTAAACTTTTATGGAATGACTATGACCTGGATGACTGAGAATCTTCATTAGCATATAAACAATTGTTACATAAAATGCATTTAAACACATTTAATCAGACTTATGTCTGATAACTAAATGTCAATTTAGTAATAATTTTCCACTAAGCTTTTCTTATTAATGAATACGTTGCCTTTTTTAAATCGATCCTCAGGAGTTAAGAGTCCAGATGGAACTCTTTAAAGATGCTTTTTTCGTTATCAGACAGTAAAAAAAGTTTCGAAATCTGTATTTCAAGGACTTTATTAAAACATTTAAATAATTCTTTGCACGTTTTAAGAATATTAATGGACTTTACTGTTGCTAAGTTCGGAATATTTCTTTAATTTAAAACAAAAAAAAAGGTGAGACCTTCGAGAAGATCACTGCAGCTCCTTTTAATTACCTGTGAACCCCTGCAGATGTTTAAAATGTTTTGGGTTGTGCTATAGAGACTGTTGATGCAGAATCTCAGCGGCTTCATTTTTGAATCACAAATAAGTCATTTGTGCAACTTATAACTACAAATATAAATGCACAATTTATATTTGTAGTATGTGCACATTAACAAATGCATTGAGGACATCCGCATCAACAAGAACATCCCCACCCAGGTCAACCAATGACCCTGGATGAATGGAGAGGTTCGGAGATCGCTAAAAGCACAGAACTCAGCTTTCAATTCAATTCAATTCAGTTTATTTATATAGCGCCAAATTCACAACACATGTCATCTCAAGGCACTTTACAGTTCAACCAGATCATACAGTCAAATTGATACAAAGTTTTCTATCTAAGGAAAACCAGTTGATTGCATTGACTCATTGACTCAAATACAATCCCCCACACTAAGCATGCTTGTAGCGACAGTGGAGAGGAAAAACTCCCTTTTAACAGGAAGAAACCTCCAGCAGAACCAGGCTCAGTGTGAGCGGCCATCTGCCGAGGCCGACTGGGGTTCAAGGAGACAGAAGCAGAGATACAAAAAGCAGCTGTAAAAGGCGGCCCCGTCCAGGAAACACACAGCCAGGCAGACGAGCTCCAAGGCAGCTCCCATGCCAGAGGACGAAGAGAGCACATCCACTCAGTCACGGTCAGAGAAACAGGACCACACTGGAAAACAGGCCGATCTCCAACATCTATTAACAAGGGTGTTGATAGAAGCAGCACAGCTGATGTTTTTTTCCAGGATGACGTCACAGCCAAACAGGAACAGACGAGGCAAAGCTACTCTGAGGAAAAGCAGAGAGAGCAGAAGGTTAGAGATTGAACTAACAGATTCTGCAGAATAGGAGAACAGAGAGAGAATGAAGCAGAATGATGAAATGGGGGTCCCTATGTCCTCCAAAAGTCTAAGCCTATAGCAGCATAACTATAGAGATAGCTCAGGATAACCTGAGCCACCCTAACTATAAGCTTTATCAAAAATGAAAGTTTTAAGCCTAGCCTTAAAAGTAGACAGGGTGTCTGCCTCACGGACTAAAACTGGTAGTTGGTTCCACAGGAGAGGAGCCTGATAACTAAAAGATCTGCCTCCCATTCTACTTTTAGAAATTCTAGGAACCACTAGTAAACCTGCAGATTGAGAGCGAAGTGCTCTGTTAGGAACATAAGGAACAATCAGATCTCTGATATAAGATGGAGCTTGGCCATTTAAGGCTTTATATGTGAGAAGGAGGATTTTAAATTCTATTCTTGATTTAACAGGAAGCCAATGAAGAGAAGCCAGGATAGGAGAGATATGATCTCTCTTTTTCATTTTCATTAGAACTCTGGCTGCAGCATTTTGGATCAGCTGAAGGCTTTTAACTACAGTTTGTGGACTTCCTGATAGTAAAGAATTACAATAGTCCAGCCTTGAAGTAACAAATGCATGGACTAGTTTCTCAGCATCACCCCTGGACAGGATATTTCTAATTTTTGCAATGTTCCTCAGATGAAAGAAGGAAATTCTAGAAACCTCTTTGATATGGGATTTAAATGACAGGTCCTGATCAAAAATAACACCAAGATTTTTTACTTTATTATCTGAAATCAGTTTAATCCCATCCAAATGAAGTGACTGGCTAATCAGTTTCTTTTTCAGAGACTCTGGTCCAAAGACTATAACTTCTGTTTTGTCTGCATTCAGAAGCAGAAAATTAAGAGTCATCCAGGTTTTTATGTCTTCAAGACATGCCTGTAATCTATGTAATGGGTTAGCTTCATCTGGATTTATAGACAGATATAGCTGGGTATCATCAGCATAACAGTGGAAATTAATCCCATGCTGTCTAATAATTCTACCAATTGGGAGCATGTATAAAGTAAAGAGAATTGATCCTAGCACTGATCCCTGTGGTACTCCACAGGTAACCTTTGAGCGTGTTGAAGATCTATCATTAACATGAACAAACTGAATTCGATCAGATAGATAAGATTTAAACCAGTCTAGTGCTGTTCCTTTAATTCCAACAAAATATTCAAGTCTTTCTAAAAGAATATTATGGTCAACTGTATCAAATGCAGCACTAAGATCCAACAGGACGAGCACAGATACAAGTCCATTATCTGAGGCCATGAGAATATCATTAGTGACTTTCACCAGAGCTGTTTCAGTGCTATGATGAGCTCTAAAGCCAGACTGAAACTCTTCAAAAAGTTCATTATGGTGGAAGTGATCGCAAACTTGTTTGGCAACTACTTTCTCAAGAATTTTGGATAAGAAAGGAAGATTGGATATAGGTCTATAATTGACCAAGTCATCTGGGTCAAGAGACGGTTTCTTAAGCAGAGGTTTAATTACAGCAATCTTAAAAGCTTTAGGTACATATCCCTGTAACAGAGATAGATTAATCACATCTAAAATGGAGGAGGAGATCAAAGGGAATACCTCCTTAAATAACCTGGTTGGAACTGGATCTAACATACAAGTTGAAGGCTTAGATGAAGACAATAATTTTGCTAATTCAGAGAGTTCAACTGGATCAAAGCAGTCTAAACCCGGTTCAGATTCCATGACTACCTCAGGTACAATCGCGGATAGAGGAGTGCTTATGATCTTATTTTTAATAAGATCAATCTTATTTATAAAGAATCCCATAAAATCATTGCTGCTAAGAGCAGGTGGAATGGACGGTTCAACAGAGCTATGGCTCTGGGTGAGTTTGGCAACTGTATTAAAAAGAAATCTAGGATTATTCTTATTCTCCTCTATTAATGAGGAGAAGTATGCTGCTCTTGCTTTACAAAGGGTCCTCTTATACAGCAGTAAACCATTTTTCCAGACTAGGAAGGACTCTCGCAGGCCTGTGGAGCGATATTTTCTCTCCAGTTTCCTAGCATTTTGCTTCAAAGTACGCAGCTCTGCATTAAACCAAGGAGCAAGCTTTCTATTTTTAACGGTTTTCATTTTCAAAGGAGCTGCGTTGTCTAAGGCAATACGCAGAGAACTAGCAACCCCCTCAACAAAATCATCAACCTGTGAAGGGGAATAAGCTAAGCTTTTGCACTCTGCAGCACTGCTCAGTGACACAGAGCAGAGAGAAAGTGAAGCAGATTCTTTAAAATTTATAACTGCACTATTTGATAAAGATCTACTAAAATTGAACCTTCTTTTGGGGGAGGAGAACTCTGTTAAAGTAATCCTGAAGGTTATTAGAAAGTGGTCAGAGAGGACAGGGTTGTGAGGAAATACTGTTATTTCTTCACATTCTATGCCGTATGTCAGCACAAGATCCAAAGTATGAAGATGAGAATGCGTGGGACTATTCACATTTTGAACAAAGCCAATAGTGTCTAAGATAGCATTAAAGGCTGCTCTTAAGCTATCGCCTTCAATGTCAGCATGGATGTTGCTGACATTGAGTATTGTTGCTGAGTATTTTTTATTTCACAACCAATCAAATCGTGAAGTATGCAGACGACAACACGGTGGTGGGCCTCATCAGAGACGACAACGACCAGAACTACAGAGAGGAGGTGGAGAAGCTGGTGGACTGTTTCAGATATAACATCCTGATCCTGAATGTGGAGAAGACGAAGGAGATCATCTTGGACTTCAGGAAGAACCGTCCTAACCACGCTCCACTGGTCACAAACAGCTCAGCTGTAGAGGTGGTCAGAAGCACCAAATTCCTGGGGGTCACCTGGACTGTAAACACCACCTCACTGGTCAAAAGGGCACAGAAGCGCATTAACTTCTTGCAGAGGATGAGGAGAGCCCACCTGCCCCCACCCATCCTCACCACCTTCTACAGAAGCACCATAGAGAGCGTTCTATAATTTTCGGGGGAAAAAATTTGTTCAAATTCCAAGTAAAAATGACTATTAAAACTCCCAAGCGTTGATTAGTACCACAGTTGTCAAACCGATTTAGTGAAACACACAGATATGTCAGCGACATTCTTTTAATAATGGACAGCTGTCAAGTTTCTTAATTGAATTTCTAACCAAGACACTGTTCTACGAGTGATACTAAAAAATAGATTTGCTGTCTCTAATTTGTCTTGTGTTATTGGAGGTTGAAAGCAGGTTCAAATCATTTCAACCTGTAATAACATTTTAATGCACTTTTAAAACATTTGAATGAAATCATGCTAAACTTTTTCAGTTTTTAAACACAATAATCATGATCCAAACCTAACCTTAAATGCCACGTCAAGTAGCAGCAAATAACCACCTGCATACCAAACGACTGCACCGCCTATAGAGAACTTAATCATTAGGATGCAGAAATTATCAATAGCTCTGTTGTAAAAGTCACCCGACTGACAAGGTTTGTTCCCTCTTCCTCTAGGGTAAAGACTGATAAAAGGTTCTCTAATTAGCAGCCGGAAACATTTCAATCTGGGGGAAAAAAACTGAACCTTCCTGCAGGAATCTTTCAATTTCAAACACACTCCTATGCCCCCTTTACTGGTCCTGACGTGACAAAAAAAGGACAAAAACACACTCATCTGTCCGCATAGCAACCTCTACTCTGCAACACACACAGTACAGCACGGGACTCCAGCTGTGTACTGGCTGTGCAGTTTCCACTTCTACCCATGTAACATGATCTTGGTTTTTTTCTCCTATTCTTCTTTACTCAGACCTCCAGGACATAGCCATCGTGACAGCTAATTTTAGCTCTTTGGCATGACATTGTCCACAATTATCCCTAGATAACTGACGCTGCACACGTACACACATGAATCTGGAGCGGCCAGTCTGTTCAGCTGCCAAGGAGAAGCATGATTTCTATCAGACAAGACAGCATTCAGCAGAAAATGTGTTTAGTTGACCATTAAATGGACGGACAGCCTACCTTTGTTTCATAAACAACACCATAATGTTAGTACTTCATTCTTAACAGTAGTCGTTAATAACAAATGCATCCAACAATATACATAGCAAGGTTTTGAATTAATATTTATCAACACAAATCATAAAAAGTCACAAGGGAAAATGTGCTTAAGCAATTCAACATATTTTAACAAAATAACATTTATTGGAGATTTAAATATGATTTGTAGAAAATTTGTTTTGAAAAAGTAAGTTATTGCCATGATCATTAAATGAGTTACTATTAAATATTGTCCTATTAGTGTTTTTTCTGCGACCCGTAATTCCAATCTGAACACAAAGTATGTCAGAGATAAATATAAATATTTCATTAGATTCATTTCATTCAAAGGCAGCTGTTCTCATCTTTAAACATCAATCCGTTTTTGCAGTTATGCAATCAGATGGAGTCTGAAAATAGATCCCTTGACCAGTCACATGTATTGTTTACATCTTCAGAGGGCTGATCCTGAGATCCATCCAAATATCTCTCACCTACTGACTCGTTAGCATAAAATACTGTCTGAGTCTGATCCCAGTGGGGTCTGCTATGATCACACCTATCGCTTCCAGAACTGTTCCTGTTCCAGCAGGAATCCCTGCGACCATTTTCCATCTGCTGTCTCTCTCTGAATTCAACATTTAGCTGCATTTTATGAGCAGGAGTAGGAGGAACTATTCCCTCCCCATTATTGTAATCACCACCAGTCACACAGCTAGTTTTAGAGTCATGCCTCTGGCTGCTTGTTCTCGGTGACTCAAAGTTCAGTCTTTGTATTTGCAGCTTTACATGTCGTCCAACTGGATGTTTGTCTTTTTGTTTCTCTGACTTCCTCGATCTCCTTCCTGATGTGATTTTAGTCTTGCACCTGCTGGATCTCATGCTTCTCATTGTGTTTTCTCTTAAGGATTCATTGTTTAAATATCTGTAGGAAGTGACTGTGTGTGACTGTGTCGCTGCACATAATTTCATACATGGAGTGGATTGAGTAGGAGGAAGAAAGTCAAGATCTTGTAGACCTAAACTATCTCTTTTAAACAATTTGGTTTTAAGTTTCTGTTTGTGTGGCGTTGATCTTAACCCAGCAAAGCTTTCATTCTTTAGATGCTGATCATTCAGCTCAGTGCAATGGAAAGCAGCATCTGAGGGGGATGGCCGTGCACCAGCATTTGTGTGCGTCTCAATCACTAGTGAGTCACCGAATAAGTCGGCAGAACAGTTGTAACCGTCCGCTTCACTGTGCTGCTCTTGTTTTCCGGGTGAAAAAAAAGCTTCACTGTCCCATGAAATCTCTCCGCCTTCCAACCTGCTCACATGCTCATCACAGTTAAAACGGTCTTGATCAGATAAAACATATTCCTGATCTCCTTCCGGTGTATTCGTGATATCCTGGAGTTTATCTCTGCCGTTTATCTCTGCAGCGCTCTGACGAGCATAAGCCGGTTCATCTGATAGGGTGCCGTTCTCCTCAATGGTTGCTGCGGTTGGTTTTTGATGCTGCAGATTAAAACTTGTCGTTTTAACCGGAAAATCTTTGTTTTCTTTACATAGATATTCAGTGAGACTCTCAGAGAAAGGCAAATCATTCCAATTAAGGGAGCTTGATATGGGTGTTTTGGTTTGAAGGGTGGTAGGAAAATCCTTTTGAGTGAGGCTGCGGCTTTTATACCTTGGCTGGGATTGACTGAAGCTGTTTTCTCTATACGAGGAGTTTGGCATCCCAGTAGAAAACGGAGTGGTGTGAAAACTGCGCCCCAACTGGAGTGGGGCTGTTCTCTCCTTCGTGCCGGGATGGTCATCCAGGGAGACACTCGCTCCTGTCAGTCTGCTGTCTCGATCTCCACCATCCTGACTCGATTTTTCGTCCTGCTCTGCTGAGGACGTAACAAGTCCGAGAGACTGCTGCCATGGGGGGGTGGAAGGGAATGCGTGATCTGTAGGTTGGAATCTGGGATGGAAATAAAAACAACTGTTTAGACATAACAGCGTTGCTTATATGGTTAGAGGTTTTCATTAAGAAACACTAAACGAAACGAGCCTGTAAAACCAGTTAGGTTTGAATTACTTAATTTCCGTTTTTGAATTACATGATTTCTACATTTACTTACCCAAGTAGAGCCTGAGAAAGAAGACTAGAATGATGTAGAGTGATGTCATCAAAGGTGCTGTTTGGAGAAGTCAGCAGCAGGGGGGCTGCAAAAGGCTTAAAGGTCTGGCTGGGATGAGCAGACTCTGCTGCACTCTCACAAACTTTCTGAAGAAGACGCTGGTAATATCTGAGCACTGTGCAGCCAGTCGGGCCTGAGGCTGTGGGAAGAATCATCTGACTGGCAACAAACTGGGTTCTTTCTCTACTGCTGGACTGGTTTCCATCAGGATCTTTAAGCCATGGTTCTCTTTCTGTTCCGCTTAACTGAACACACAGATGGACACAAGAGCAGAGATCAAGTGATGCTATGAATACTTCATCCAAATCTCTTCGTTTCCGTTACAGTTAGGGGGTGAAATACCAAAAAAGGAAGAAACATCAAGTGATGTCCTGTTCATTTTTATTTAATGGTGAAATTAAAAAAGGGAATCGTAGCTGATAAACATACCTTGATTAATGGATCCAGATTTAAATGTCTTTTTAATGGATTCTGAAGTAATGACAGTATTTGTGTGTGTGTGGGGTGGGTGTACCTGTCTAGGCATCAAAGTAAGGACCATTTTCCTATTTCAACATCAGAATGGGGGTCAAAGTGAGGACATTTTGCTGGTCCTCACAAGGTATTTTGCTAACGGTTAGGTTTAAAGCTAAGGTGTCAATTGGGTTGGGGTGAAGTGCATTGGTAATGGTTAGTTTTAGGTTTAAGGCATAGAAAGGGTTGAAAATGACTGAAAATCAATGGAAGTCAATGGGAGTCAACACATGGTACCTCATAAGGCTTACCAGCAACAATATACAGCATTGACATACCATAATCAACTTAGATTATGCAGAAACTTAGTTATGAGATAATATCTAACACAGTGACAGAAAGTTGATGTTTTTAGGTCCCTCTGTGTCTAAAGAATACTTTTTTAAATGGCTTTATAATGTGACAAAGCTCCTAGGTTACCCCAAGTCAACTTCTAATTGTTTTATCACTCGCTCACAATAACTCCCTCAAACGTAGAGCTCTACTGTAAGCTGCGCTGCAGCTGAAATGACTCAAAAGAAACCTCAGAATCCATCAGAAAAGATTTCTGGTGTTTTTTATTAAAAATTTATTGATGATCAAATATCCTTGAACATAAATACATTTGAATCCTATGAAGTACACACAGTTTAATTCAAACCTCTTTCTGTGCAACAAAAGTTATTCAAAGGAAAAGTAAAGGATTCATTTTTCAGATTGACTTGGATTATGAGATTATATGATTTATGAATCCTATTACAAATTATGTAATGTAAATCCCTTTATTTTCCAACAATGGAGAAATTCACTCTGCATTTGACCCATCCGCTTGGGGAGCAGTGGGCTGCCATTCTGTGGCGCCCAGGGGAGCAGTGTGAGGTTTAGGGTCTTGCTCAGAGACCAAGAGTGCAGGCTGTGGGGATCGAAGCAGGTACTTGCAACCTTCACTGAGCACAAGCGCACTGCTCTAACGACTAGGCCACGACTCCCAATTACTGTAACTTGATGATACTACAAAAATAAAAATGAAAAAATTAAGGAGAAATATATTTTGTCTATTAACCTAAAGTATTTATTAATCTACAGTTCAGTTTAATAGCCATTAACACTTTATGATTAAAAGTTAAAAACAAGTGGCAGTTCATATGGGATGACAGGTTTGTTTCAGTTACCCAAGACCTGCAGAACTAGTAAAACCAGAAAGCGGCAGAAATAACACCATCCCACATAATGATACATTGTTTTGCGAACAATATCGCTCTGAATCGCCAGGTGTAACCACATGATGTAATATATGTGATCTATTCATACATACAATACCTTTATACCAAAGATGAAGTGTCTACCAAGTAAACAGTCTTCAACTGCCTGCAACAACAACGCCGATCTTGCTGATGGTCCCATTGGTCCCTCCGAACGTTCAACCAACCTAAAGAATAACAGAAAATTTAATCAAAAACTGCAGGAGGGAAAAAATAAGCAAACATATTTTCTCATAATAAGCACTAATGACTGACTCCTCTCCACTGTTTTCTGCTCAGCTGTGTATCTAAGGAGTCCTTTCACTTGGTGTCAGTAGTACGGACATGTTTGGACATAACAACAGTCTGTGGTGTTTGTTCTAATAAGGATGATGTCTTAACCTATTCACAACAGTTTCGACTGTAGACATTTAAAGTCACAAAGAGCCTTACAGATACAGTTAACTGTACTGTCTGCCAAAACTCCAATCAGTCATATCAGTAAAAACAACTGATGAATATGATGTTCATCTGACCAGTTTGATAGAAGTTCCCCAGCTGTGAGAGTGTACTATTAAAACTAAAAATAAAAAACTGCTGCAAATAAAACACAAAAAAACACAACTCTGACATTTCATTCTTACCGCTTCACATTAATAATTGTTTGGTAGTTATAATACATGGCAATTAGCTTTACTCAGTCTGTGTAATGGGGTCTTATCGCAGTAGAAAGCCAAAAATTGAAATAGATTAAAGAAAGTGTGTGAATATTGGATAAAAACCATAGAAGTTTAACAGGAAGGTTACTCTACTTTAAGTTAATTTAAGTGCATTTAGAGGGGGTATGAAAAATACGTTTTACTTCCTCATACCCCTTTTCAGATAATTTACATTAATAGATTTCATGTCTCTGCCTGTATATACCGACAGGTTTATTTTGTGGAGGTTTTTTTTTAATTTATTTATGGTCAAGTGAATTTAGTTAGTTTGGAAATTGTTTGGTTTGATGTTAACTAGTCTCTTTTTGTGTGTATTTGGTTGATTTATTTATTGTTGTTTGTCAAAATTGTCTGAAATAAATTCCTTTTCATTCATTCATAGTTTGTTGGAAGCTCTAGAAGTGGCCGACCAATGCTGTTTTACATATACCGGTACAATAATTGTATGCATTTCCTAATACCTTGCTGCACATAGAAAGATATTAAATAGCGGCTGTTTCTTAATAGAGGAGGGAAATAGAGAGAAAGTATTTAAACAAAGTCTTTATATTAGGGACCGTAAATTCAGGTGGAAGTCTCAAATTCATTATGTGCAAACATTTTCAAAGAGCAAATTATTGTTGTGTTTGTTTTTATTTAAGTGAGGGAGATAAGGGACTTTGACTTTATTCAGATGTTTAGCTTATAAAATCTAATAAAAGAAATTACTATTTTATATTAGATAGAGACACACACAATAGATCAAGTCTGTCATACTTCTTTCAATAACAATGTGTAAAATACAAGGACAGAGACGTGCAATATTTGGTAGAACAAATTTGATGTATACTGTATTTTAAGTGGTCTAGAAACTTAAGGTAAAAAAAGGAGTATACCGTTTTATTATTGTCCAGACGAAGGTTTAGTTTGTAATGAGAAAGATCAGGATTTAATAAGTAAGCACTAATTCACTCATTAACATGCAAAAGAATAAAAATATATCATCTGCATGTGCATGCTCTAAACCACTGAATTGGATAGGGCCGAAACAATTAATCATGACTGATCCATTACTGAAATAATCATCAACTAATTTAGTACACGATTAATCCTTAACTGGAGTAAAGAGACCGCAAAACATGCTTTAGCTGACAGAACAACCCACATAGACACTGTAAAAACATATATCAAATTTTGTATTCAGGATACAAAACCTTTTGTCAATAAGCTCTAAGGTTCTAGCTTGACTTAGTTTAATTCTATGAAAATTTTTTATTTAAGGAACCTTTTGCTGTCCAATTTTAAGTTGATTAATTGAAAAAAATAATTGATGGATTACTTGATTAGCAAAATAATCTTTAGTTGCAGCCCTAATATGGGATCTTGAGATGCTCTACAGAAACTAAACAATAAAAAATTATTACTCTCCCTCACTTAGGAACTGCAGCATTTCTATACAAACGACTGTGGTTTATGGACTGGTACGGTAATAGCTAAGAATTAGTATTAGTAAAAGTATTATTAAGATTGTGGAAAACTGACAAGGTTCCTTGGTTTAAAATGTGGATAAGCGATTTTAATGAGACTCTTCATTTGGAAAAACTGCGGTAAGATGTTAATGGCTCCACTAATAAGTTCTGTAGTATCTGGCAGCCAGTTCTGGACCTTATTCCTCAGTCTAAGACTGAACCCGACAGCCGCTCAGTTTCTTAGTATGCCGTCCATGCCTTCATAGATATGTAGTACTATTCTAAAGTGTAAATCAGCGCAGTAACCAGTGCAGTGTAACTGTTACTTAGATAATTTGTGTGGCTTGTTTGCATTTTTTATTTATTTATTTTTTCTTTCTTCCAATCTTTCCCTCTGTTATTGAATGTTTTTTTTTTTTTTCTGTATAATTACTATTGCTGTATTGGTAAGAGTATTTCTTTTTCTTAGACCGTAATTTTTTTTAATATATGTATGCTTTATATTTGGGTGTGTGATTTTTATATGTTGTACTTTGAAAAACTAATAGAAATATATCTAAAAACAAAACAAAAAAAATATTATAAAGGTAATGCTTTCATAGATATAAAACCGTCATTTCGAGAAAAAAAAAAAAAAACTATTTATTTCCCATTATAACCACAGTTAATTAATTTTGTTGAAATATTCTGAACCACACTAATTATGGAGAGAACATTCAGCTGGGTCAGAACTAAACTAATCCAAACAGTAAAGCCAATAAAACATAATCCAATTAAATCACCTCTGTAATCCAGTTGCATGGATTCCAAAAAAGGAGTTCAAGCTGTTTCCAAACACAGTGACACAGAAGGTAGCTGCATCTCTGGCCACCAGCAGTGATAGTCGGTATCTGTAGTCCACCTGCTCCCTCAGACACCAGCAGCCACACCTGGAGCAGCTGTACCTGACAGGAAGGACCCAGGATTCAGTTTACTCCTCCCCACAGAGCTCAAACAAACGTATGTTCGTGTTTTTACCTGGAGTCTCTCTGCTCGGCATCCAGACGGGAGAAGCAGCCTTTGCAGCAGGGATAAAACAAACAGCCATCTTGAAGAGACAACACGTCACAACCCACCAGAAGCCGTCTAACAGACATTAGCTCAACACAGAGAAATAAACATCCAGCAGGTTAACACCTACAGAACTCATCGGAGCCCATGAAATCTGATTTAATAAAGAAACCACAAACCAAAACACCAAAGCGAAGACATTTATCTCCACTTCGATGTTTTTTAGAGCTTCTCAGCGCCATTCGCTGTTTGGATTTTCTTCTTCGGGTTGTGATCAAACAGACAAAGTTACTCCATTACTGCCACCTCTGGACATAGTGTGAAACGACAAGTCGTTGTGGATTTTTTTGTTCTTTATGAAAATATCAAGATTTACAGACAAACATGGCTGCATAGAGTTCTTTTTTTTTGCTATGCAATGAACAATAGAGAACATTAATAATTACAAACATATACAACAACAAAGGGCTTTACAGAACAGAATTATTATTTTAAAATGTCAAAATCAAATCTATGCTCGAGGGTTATAATTCTTTAAGGGCAGTTATAATTTGCATGGCTTTAGCATTTGAATTAAATTTTAAGGATTCTATATAGATATTATTAGAAGATAATAAAATGTAGAAATTAGTTTTTTGTATTTGGAGGTGTGATATGATATTTACCATAAAAAAAAATATATATATATATATATAATATAATTATAATTATAATTCTGTTTTGACAAGATCTGATTTCCCTGTCCCAAACAAAACATCCTTATCTGTTAAAATAATGTTAAGATTTTTTTTTTATGAAAAAAAAAATTGACATATGTCTCCAGAAGCTGCTTAGAATTTGTTTCTTCAAGTCAGGATACATAGAAAATATAGCCAAGAGGAGCATCTGTTAATACAAATATGAAATATATCTATAACATAGACTTGCTATGGAGGGTTATTAACATAAACATTTAAATACACGAAACCAAATAAATAAACAAATAGAAAATTATAAGAATAATTACAAAATAAAAACAATTATATAAAATAATAGAAAGTAAAAGAAAGTATAACATAAGGGGAGAATTCAATCTTAGCTGTTTACTTCTGTTGGGAAGTGTTTTAGGACATCATATATTTTTTGTGCTTTAGGACTTTTCAGAATCTTTAATGATTTTATATATAGCTTAAACTCATTTAAAAAAATAACAAGTTTGGGAGATGATTTAGCAATTCTACATTTATGAATGAAAAACTTAGCTAGACGTACAATTGTATTAGTGCAGAGCTCATCACCCTTACTTTGCAATATTAGGCCAAAAGTGACATCGTCCCTGGAGATAAAGGTTGGGAATGAAGATAGCTGTTGTTTAATCCATCTATGCAAATCCCACCAAAATGTTTGCAGCACTGAACATGAGCAGAACACATGGTCCGTTGTGGAATGCCTACTTCCTGTTTTTTCTATGAATTTTGCAGCCATAGAGCTGTTTAAAGGGGCCGTTCACAAATGTCAACATTTCAACAAATTAGTTCATTGTTCCGTTAGTTGATTTATTTAATGACCTGCATTGTAAACATGTTTTAATAAAGAAGCTTGTATGCGAGTTTATTTTAAGGGGAAGGTGGGGGTTTGGGTTTCTAAAGTGTATGTTTTGTAAAATTGCTAAAATTATACAAATTGTAAAGAATCCCTAATTCTTTTTGGAGTAAATACGAAAAAAGATATGTTGAATTGGTTTTGATAACTTCTTAATTATTCATTTGATTTTCTTTAAATGGATTAATAATAATAGAAATTTATTGATCTCACACTGGAGAAATTTATTCTCTGCAATGCGGGGTAAAGGGTCTTACTCAGGGACCCAGAGTGGCAGTCTGTCGGAGATGAACTCAGAACCTCTGGGACCCAAGCACAATCCTCTAACCTGGAGGCCACCACTCCCAATTACGTGACAATTATATGATAGTGGAATCCTTAATGCAGACAGTTTTAGATACTTAAAACTCCTAATTTCCTCCGGCATGGTAAGTAAAGTAATATAAATTATTAATTAAGATAATAGATGTTTTTTGTTGTCTGGTCATATGGTACTTTATACTTTGAGCTGGATCCAGCTGATATCCAATCCAGGGACCTGATCCTAACCCTCTAAATATATAGATTTTGTCACCTATCATGCAAAAATGTACATGCATCAAGCCATAGTCGCAAAATTAATAGTATAAAAATTAATCACAGATTTTTTTTCTTATAAAAACATCTAAAAAACGCAATGAAAATGTTTTTAGCCTCTTAAAAAAATCTACATGAATTCTAGTGGAGCCTATTGCTTGCGGTAGTGTTCTAGCCTACTTAGTATATATAATCTATTCTTTCTGTACAGGCTGCTGTACTATTAACCACTGGGTGATTATTAGAGAACATTAGTGACCAAATAGCATCATTAATTTGAAAGAACAGTTTATTGGATAGTTGTAAACATACCAATACATGTTATCCACCTAGGTAAAGAGTTGAGATTATAAAACATTAGAGAGAAAGCCATTAGTTTGGAAAAAGCACCTGTGGATATTCAATTCAGTTTATTTCTATAGCGTCAATTCACAACACATGTCATCTCAAGGCACTTTACAGTTCACCAGATCATACAGTCGTATTGATTCAAAGTTTTCTATCTAAGGAAAACCAGTTGATTGTACAGACTCATTGACTCGGATGCAATCGCTCACACTAAGCGTGCTTGTAGCGACAGTCGAGAGGAACAACTCCCTTTTAACAGGAAGAAACCTCCAGCAGAACCAGGCTCAGTGTGAGCGGCCATCTGCCGAGGACGACTGGGTTTCAACGAGACAGAAGCAGAGATACAAAAAGCAACTGTAAAAGGTGGCCCCGTCCAGGAAGCACACAGCCAGGCAGACAAGCTCTGAGCCAACTCCCATTTTAGAGGATGAAGAGAGCACATCCAGCCAGTCACAGTCAGAGAAACAGGAACACACTGGAAAAACAGGCCAATCTCCAACATCTATAAACAAAGGTGTTGATGGCAGCAGCACAGCTGATATTTCGCTCCAGGGTGGTGTCACAGCCAAACTGGAACAGACGAGACAAAGCTACTTTGAGAAAAGGCAGAAAGAGCAAAACGTTAGAGATTAAACTACAGCGAACATGTGGAAGAAAGTGCTCTGATTACACAATACCAGAATGTAACTGCTTAGTTTACATAAAAAGTTCCCCATGTGACAGAAAACTAACACTAACAATGGAGCTGGAGACATTTATCTTATGGAAAGACTTTTATTAAGCAGTTTTGGCAGTTTTGACTGAGTGTGCTGGACCTAAAAACAGGGAAGTGAGCGGTTTTGAGCCATATGGATTTGTCATCATTTAAATTCAACATAAAGTCATATAAGTCTATATATGACCTTTCTGCATATTGATTTGAAACAGTTTATTTAGCTTTTATCAATCTCTATTGTCTTGGTTCTATGGCGTCTCCACACTCTACATGGAAACACGTCTTGACCAACTGATAGCCATTTTCACCCACAGCTTAAACAGATCCATGGATCAATGTATGGTCAGCTTTAGTATTAAATGCTCCACCATAATCCGGCACTTACTCTTCATGCTGCACCGCCTCAGCCACCCAGGGAAAGACATGATCCTGTTTGTGGGTATCAGCTTCACTTTCAGAACCAGCACGCTTCACTTTTTAGTGGATCACAAGTTTCCTGGCTGACCAGCAGCGCCTCAGCAGACAGGTATTTGAGACTCCTGAAGTTTGAAAATTGAAGTTAAAGTTCATTGTTCTGAAACTGGATAGCAACAACTCTGCATGCAGTCTAGCAGTGGACTGGCTGGTCCATTGCTAGGTTCAAAACCACCTGAAGCAAACCTGCTGAAAAGGAGGGAGATGAGGGTAAACTTCAGCTTTTTAGACAGCACACGAATATTTACATTCCATAAAGTGCAGCAGCAATCAAATGTAAACAGTATAGGAGAAAAAACATTGTGCAAAAAAAACACATTGATATGGAAGTTCAGAGCATAAATATATATGGTACAAATATGCAGTATTTTGGTATTGGTGTGATGCAGGGCCTGTGAAATGATTTGGAGTTACTAAAGTTGACTAAAGACAAAGTCACCTTTCTTTGTGTCATCAGGAGAATGACAAAGCTGTCCCTGTAGCAGCCAAGCTGACCTCATAATGAGGAATTCTTCTATTTCTTGCATGTCGTAACAGGTAGTTGTGTTGTTTTTACTAAATCATTACTTCCTAATTCTGAGGCTTTTAAAGGAAGCACTCGACTTCCAGAGAAATAAAGAATAAACATAGTAGACATTACTAGTGGTTTGTGTGCAACATTTGGGATTTTTTAAAAGTTTTATTAAGTATTAGAAAAACTAATAGCTAAATGTGTTTTTCAGGCTTGTATTAGGATGTTTCATTTGTACCAACAGTGTTGGTGTATTGCACAGTTCAGATAAAAAGTGCTGATTGTTTTATTTCATTAGAATTTGTGACTGAATTATGTAAAATTGACTTTTTCTTGTATAACTTTAGAGTATTTATCTGGTTCTGCTGGAGGTTTCTTCCTGTTAAAGGAGAGTTTTTCCTCTCCACTGTCGCTACAACCAGGCTTGGTGTGAGAGATTGCCTTTGAGTGAATGGGTCAATGCCATTAACTGGTTTTCCTTAGATAGAAAACTTTTAATCAATTTGACTGTATGATCTGGTTGAATTGTCTCTGTAAAGTGCCTTGAGAGGACATGTGTTGTGAATTGGCACTACAGAAATTAACTGAATTGAATTACTTGATTTAATATTAAGTAATTTTTTTGGTTTACTAACATATAGCGAAAGAATTCTGTTTCTTTTAATTGATTACATTTTTAAAAGTGTATTCTTTCACCCTTTCCCTCATACTGGATTTCTAAAATGAAGTCTTACTTTCCATTTTATAGTCCCCCAACCATCTGTTGTCAAACTGAGAAGCTTTACAGACTGGTCAAAAAATTGCAAATATTACACTATGCCAGTGTAAAAAAAAAAAAAAAAAAAAAAAAAAAAAAGAAAGAAAAAACTATACACTATACAAATGTGCCACTTTAAATGTCTTAATTTCAAGATTAATATAAAGCACATAATTTGGGGCCATAAAACATTGACTTACTTTTAAAAGCTTTGAACCTTCTGTGTCACTTTGCTCTAGATACACAAATTATTGCATTAAAATATACAGAGTAACATAAAAAGGCATCTGGAATTTATTTTATTTTTTAAGATCCATGT